ACGGCGACAGGGGCAACTCCCTAGTACACGACGATCCGGACCTCCCTGGTCTTCTCAAAATGATTGGGCACATGCCGCTTGCGGTCACTCTCATGGCCAAAGCCGCGAAGCTCACAGGCCTATCCGCTGCGAAGCTCGCCCATAAATACGAAGAACGCGGAACGGCCATGTTGGGACCATCAGGGACAGACGCAACGCATAATATGGAGCTTTGTATCAGTCTGTCTGTGGATAGCGCGCCCATGAAGAGGGTTCCGGAAGCCTTTGAGTTGCTCGCAATTCTAGCTATGTTGCCTGCGGGTGCAACATTCGAAACGCTCGACACATTATGGGCTCAGAACCACAACAAACTTATGTTAGCACTGGAAACTCTTCGAGATACATCCTTAGTAGATCACCATGACTTCACGTTTCTCGTCCTCCCAGTGATTCGACGCTATATCCTCGATCCCTTGCGCTTCCCCAACAAAGTCCGCGAATCCTTAGTCAACGCCGCATGCAGGTTTCTAGCCCAACATAAAATCGACCCTCGAAAGAGTGATGGTCTGTATGTGGAACACGTCAAGGCAATTGCCGCAGAGGAGGCAAACCTGCAGGCCATTTTACTGGAGACCACAACTTCTACACCACGTCTCATTGAGGCTCTCGTAACGTTCGCGCGACACCAGCAAGCTACGAGGCCACGTACGGAAGTCGTTGAGCATGCCCTAAAACTCCTGAGCGGCTTGGAAGATAATAAAAGACTCTTGGGGTTGGCCTTGAAATGCCAAGCAGATATTCTTGTGCGGCAGGATGTCTGGGACAATCTCTTGCCAATCCTCACCCGGGCGCGCAATCTCTTTCTCTCAATTGGCGACAAAAGAGAAGCTGCCGAGTGTACTTTGAGCATTGTCAACTTCCAGCGCTCCCTCAATTACCCTGATTTGAAGGACCCAGAGGCCGTTATTGCAGAAGCGCAGACAGAATTCGAATCGGTTGGTGACAGATATGGCATCGCGCTCTGTCGTGCCCAATACGGGAAATTTTACAGTTCATTCGAGGAGTCTTTTGTACGAAGCATCGAACAATTCACCGGGGCGATGGAGGTACTTGTCGAGTTTAACGACCTCCCACAAATTGGGGAGATTGCAACGCGGATTGCAAGTACGCATTATTTCCTCAGGAACCTTGAGGAGGCCAGGGTATGGGCGGAGAGAGCGATCCAGCAAAACGAGGATATCGGCCGACACGATACAATTCCGACGTTGATTGTCGGTAGGGTGCTCATTCGACAGGGAGACTTTGCTGAGGCCCTTCGCAGGATGGCAAAATGTCTTGAGAAAACTCGCGGAGGACGCTGCGATGTTGCACAGATGCTGGAGGAGATGGGGCGCGCGTGGGCCAAGATGGGCAAGAAGGAAGACGCGGAATCAGCATTCAAGCAGTCTATGAGCTATTATTCTGATCGGACCACCCATCCTGAAACTATGGGTCGTGCGAGATGTCAGTATTTTATTCGCAAACTGTCAGATCCAGAGGCACTCCCTAGTCCAGCTGAGGAAGATGCATTAGAATCATGGCACCCATTCAACATTGACGAACTTCTATAATCCACATTAAATACAGTGCGGTCCCCCCTCATAATCTAAGATTTACGTACATACCGGTTCCCTGACAGGCTGTACATGTAGTACCCCTATTTATTGCGCTTTTCACGTTTAATAACACTTCGGATTGGAAAGATTAGACATGCGTTATGGTGCGTTACTGTACTCTTCTGCCACAAGAAACCACGGGCTAACCTAATTGGGTTCTTTTTTTGAGTGTTAAAACGCGAGTTTTTCCACATCGAAGTCTCGGAAAGGAGAAAAAATCATATGCATGTTCATAGATCTAGGTAAGCTGTGATAGAGTCAACTACAAATACACATTCACAACAACTCAGAAGCAACAAACAACAGCACACGACAGTTATAGGGGAGGTTATATTCCGAGCACCTGGGGTAAAATAATATAAGGATAAACAACAGGACAGGATCTACCATACCATACAAGAGCCAGCGTACAGCCATGCGAAGGAACACAAGCAGAGGTCATCAAGACCCAGCGCTGCCCCGGCCCCGCGCGCACGCAGACAAGCGAATGCCTGCGCCGTGAACGGGTCGAGCAAGTGGTTGTACGTATACGGTTTCTGACTAGAGAACACGAGAGCGGGAAAGGAAAAGCGGAAACCAAGACATATGCCGGCGACGTGAATGCTGCGTGATTGAGTCGAGTGTCGTTAGTGGGGCGCGCGCTGGGCGGGGGAAGGTGCAAGTGCAAGTGTAGCTATGAACCGCGCTGCGGGGGGAGGGGTCCCGGAAGGGAAGGCCGATACGGATGTGTAGTGTACAGTGAGTGTGCGTGTGTGGGACTCCGTGATGTGTGAATGAATGATTGGCGGTACCGACGATAGGTGCAGTGGTGTGTAGTTGGATGTGTGTGTGTGTGATGCGATGTGCGATGAGGTTAGTAGTGATGGTGGTCGGTGGTCGCTCAGAGCGTTTGCGTGATGGCCACGGAAAAGTCTGAGAAATACGCGTTCTGGGTTTTCGGCGACGCAAAATCGGGAGAGGAACCTGTTAGGGCAGAACATTTAGGTCAAGCTCAAAACTAAATAAAAGAATTTGGACATACCTCCGAAGAAAGTTTGCATTTGAATACCACGCATGCGGCCAGCAGAGCTGTCGCGCAAGATGAGGCCCTTGACGTTGATAACGCTCTGTCCATTGACGAAGAGCTCGAGCTCGCCGTTAGCCTTACCGACGTCATTGAGGCGGACGCGCTCGCTGACGGTGGTCCATGCGCCTGTGGTGAACTTGAAAGCTCCACGACCAATAGAGGCTCCGTAGGTCGGGTTGCAGTCAGACGCGGGTGCAACGTTGCACTGCTTGGAGTTGGCGGCGAAGCGGGCATCGGTGAACGGAGGAAGGTAGGTGTAGAACTCGCCCGCGCCTTCACCGCGCCACATGAGACGCGCGGAGAAGCAGGCAGACGAGCGGCTGCCGCCAGAGCAGCCGATGGCTAGCTCTTCGCTGTTGCCTCCATCTGCGATACCATAATTAGATTAAGCATAAATCAAAAGGTTGGGGCGACTTACAGATACCAGGGAGCTTGCCACCCTTGTTGAACGCGAATCCGGCCTCGAAATAGACAGAATAGCCGAATGTAGCCTCCTTGGCGGTGCTAAGGTCGACGGAGCTGGGACCAGGCGCGTAGAAGGATAGACCACCCTGGGGCTGGTGGGTGAACGTGTACGAGCCTTTGGGGTAGCGCGCCTGCATCGCCTTCTTGCCGTCAGGTGCCGAGACGAAATCGTGCGAGAGCGCAGAGATGAGGCGTGTGGGCCGGAGGGTGCCATCGGACAAGGGAAGGGGGTTGTCTGCGAGCGGAGATGTGGACCATGATTTCGAAAAGCCTGGAACGGGGAACAGCGAAGAAAGCTTAGAGTTGCCCGATCCACCTGTGTTCGGGGTCTTCGTGGGTGAAGGAGACGGTTGCGGGTTGACAGACGAAGGGGTGGGCTTTGATGGAGGTGCACTAGACTTTGCGGAGGTCGTTGATGAAGTTTGCTGGGGCAACGTAGCAGGAGTGCTTGGAACAGATGTAGGATCACTGTTCACCGATGTGGAGAGTTGAAGGTCATCGGTAACAACGGGAGGAATGCTACCGCCAACGTTGATATCGGGAGTCGTGACGGGATCTGGTACAGCGACTGAGGAGTGCGGGCGGCAGGAGCGTCGACCGTGGCGCAGAGGCATGGCATTGGCGAAGAAGACAAAAGCAAGGATGATCAGGAGGGAGTTGCGTGCGAACATGGTGAAATTAAGCGAACGGCGTAGATAAAGAATGTCGTCGAGTAGGCCTGGAGGCTTGAAGAAAAGACTCGGACAACGAGTGCGACCTGGAGGAAGGGGAGGAAGACGAGGGGGTTCAACTGTGCAGAAAGCAACCTTCATTTATACAAATGATGCACGCCAATTTTCCGTGGCAGGTCCTCTTGGCGCGGTCGATCTCAGATCCATCATTGTTCTCCCTTGAACCATTGATAGTCGCAAGGTCAATGCGCGAGTCACTCAAGCGCAGACTTGGACCAGTGCAGAATAAGGTTGTTCCAGTGAGCTCCAGAGTGTCTTGAAGAGTGCTCATCCTGCGGTTCAGCGAATTGGTAGGCATCGCCAAACGTTCGAGCGCCATCAAAAGTTCGCGTTCAGCCGTATGACAGTAGTGGATCCAACCATATGGGCGAAAGGGTGACGTTTTGCATAAAAGATTTCGGCTCACGGCATCCTGGACATTTCAACATTCATCGCGAAGATCCCATTTATCCGAGATATCTCACTTACAGGTGTCGAAATGGACGCACTGACACTCTAGAAGGCAGTGCGAAGAACGAAGAATCACAGGCGATTCATTTCTGTCTCTAGCAGCAGTCTCCGAAGGGCAAGAATGACTGCGTTTCGGACAAAGGAGATACGAATGCATCCCTACTGCTCTCATGACTATTAGCTCACTATCTCCAAGCTAACGAAGTCGAGGTGAATACCTAGACAGATGTTGAACCGAACGGCATCAGCAGCCCTTTATCCCCACCGCAGACCACTAGAAGCATCTCCTCATGGCATCTTTTTCGAAGAATCGTAGAATTCCAAGCTCCAAGACACGAGGACAAACAGGGACGATGACAAGAGCTCACCGCGCTGCCCGATCCCGCGACTGTTTGGCACAATGGGTGGTGCAAACAATCGCGACGCGTCAACAAAGGCCCCTCTGGTTGCTATGACGTCTCGAAACAAGTGAAATTCCGGAATTATTTTAGCCTGAAAAGCCCCTAATTGGCACCTCGTGTACTTGCATACTTGCTCAAGGAAAAATCTCAGAGCCACAAAAATTGCACAAGCACAGAAAGTGGAAAATGCAACCTATTGGCACCTTGTTCACGCTCGAGTCGAACACACATCTCCTCGACGTTCAAGCTTCAAGGCATTAATGGGGTAGTGGTAACCTGGGTCGTTGCCACTTTGCGGAAATCGACCCGCCGGGAGTTCGATTCTCTCTTATAGCCCTTTTCATATTTATACGGAAAGCCGGAAACAAAAAAAAGTTGTGTGGTTCTGTTGAAATCCGAGGCAGTCCACAAAACTTCACCCACTCCTCGATGCTGCTCGATGTTCTGCGTTAGAGATCATCTCAGGTGGATTATACTCAATAATATTATATATATATATCTGTACCTAAAGTTCAATGGGAGAAGCAGACCAAGGATAGCTATGCCTAAGTTTTCCTAAGTTTTCACGAAGCACAAGGTGCAATGCCAGTTCTTTCTCAGTTGTGCTGCCCTCATTATCATTGCCTTGGAGAAAGATGTATAGATTGAGGGATGTAGTGTATTGACTCGGGCCATCGTATAAGTATTGCAAGTCAGAGA